CACAGTTAAAAGATGATTTTTTTGGAATTTCAAATTTGATTAATCAAACTATAAGATAATATTTAAAAGAAGAAAAAGTACTTGTACAGATTGAATTTACTGTAGCATTAATGTAAATTTATAGTGGGGACTGGTTACTGTTTCATTACACCTCAGATGTGGTAAAATTTATATGCATATATATTGAGCTAAACCCTTGCAATTTGGTGCTCGAAGGCTTCCCCTCCTGAAGGTGAACTGCATTTTTTTCTTTCAGATTCTCTCTCATTTTCTTTGTTTAATTTTCATTTGATTGCTGCATCAATGTCTAAAACAGGTGAAAGTACACTTCAATTAGTTCAAAAAATACGATGAGTCGAAGATCCGACGGTTTGGAGCCGGATTCGATGCTGAACTTATCACCAGCTAGGGTGGTTAACCACAGTGTTAGGTCGCCAAGTGTGTCGGTTTCTTCCTTGGAATCGTCACCGGAAAGCTCTTGTTTATCTTCGGAGCTCGACAACAACTACGAGGATTTGATATCAATGGCGGAATACCCGGGTAGTCGTCCGGAAGTAACGTCGATGTTGTTGGTGGGGTGTCCTCGATGCTTCATGTATGTTATGCTGTCCGAGGTCAATCCCAAGTGCCCTCGATGCAAGAGTACCGTCTTCCTTGATTTTCTTAACAACGAGAACGCCAAATGGACAAAGAACTGATCATAAAGAATGTGTAAGATTTGCTTTTTGTTTTTTGTTTGTGTAATGATAATAAAGTTCGAAATTGAATAAGGTTTGTAAAAATTAAGATTTAAACTCTAAATCTCAATTTTCATTTCAGTCAATTATATGCTATGGACTCGTTCACTTATGGGATTAATAGTTTTTTTCGTGTACTTTTATTCTTATTCCGTCGTCTAAAATAATTTGGACCGATTGCTGGGGCAGAGCTAGAAAAATTATTTTAGATGACAATTTAGAGAGTTTATTTTTCGATGTCAAATTTAAAAATTGTATGAATTTTTTTAAGTGGATGAAAATGAATAATGAGCGTCAATTTATATTTAAAGATGCTAATATTTTGTTAAAAATATGTTAGTTTTGTCTTTTAAAAAATTATATAAATAATTTTTTTCAATTTTTTTGAGTGTCATATGACACTCCTCTTTATAAGCTGGCTCCTCCAATGAACAAAGGGGTATTAAAATGAAACTAAACTAAACGTTACATGTAGTTTTGAAAAAAAAATTGAATATTAAGATAAAATAAAAGTAATAATTTAAGTACTAAATTTGAATTATTCACGCTGAGAATTGTTTCTTAAAAGTTCTTTAAAGGGTTGGCACATAAGAAAACGACTGAATCACGTGCAAGAGAGTACTCGTAGGACTAACAAATTGTTTAGTAGTTCGGTACAACCCATGCAGGACTTGTATAATTTAACGATTTCTAAAAGCAAAATTGTACGTATGTTAATACTTCCATGTATTCTATTGTATTGTTGATTCTATTTTTTAAAGTGTTCATATTTTATGTATTTTAGAATTTAAATATGAAGATATAATCTTTCAAAAACCTCTAAATATGTATCTTTTCTTTTTAATTTTTAAACATATCTATGTCGAAATTTTATTGTCCGATCCCCGGTGACGGAACTTGGTGATAGAGTTTGGGAGGGTCAACTTAAAACTTTAAAGAGTTTAGAGGTTTAAATTAAAATTTTTAAAAAATTGGAAGGGTTTAGTTTATGTTTTTTATAATAAAAAAATTAGGGTCTAACTAAATTTTTTTGAAACTTTGAGAGGCCTAATGAGAATTTTTAAAAATTATGGAAGAACATTCAAAAAAAATTAAAATATAATCCGAATTTCTAAAAATGGGGGATTAATTTTTTTTTATTTTAAGATTCTAAATTATATTTTTAAAATTTTGAGGGGTTATAGCCCCACTAGTCCCTCTTGAGTTCTGTCACTGTCGATCCCATAATAACATAGTTTTAACATGTTATAATCATGTTTAAGGAAGAGTTGGATTACGGATATGTCATAATCATGTGATATCAATAGTAAAATAGAAGATTATTCTTTTTAGAGTTATTGAGTTCGTATAGTTACGTCTGTAGAATGTGTGAATATTGTTAATAGATTGAGAAAGATCCGAATATATACTATTTAAGACTGATTTAACCTAAGTCTGAACTCATCCCATTCAAAATCTGAAAAAAAAAAAGTTTGAATATGTAAATGAATGTGCATTCAGTTTTTTTTTCTTTTTTTCTTTTCTGTGAGTGAATGTGCATTCATTAAGATACTCACATGGTAATATTTAGAGAAATAAATTAAAATATATTATTTTTTTCCTTTTTTATGATTTGAACGTGCATTCATTAAGAAAAAATATTACTATATTTTAATTTATATCTCTAAATATTACCATGTCGAGTAAAATTACGTAGAATAGACGAAAAAAATTGATTTTAGACTCCTTGTCTTTAATTGTTCACTTTCAAAATCGATAAGGACTAAATTAATTGTTTATCTTTTTTAGAGGGATCAATTTATCTAATTTCAAAATTGAGAAAATATTTGAAACTTTTAGAACATGTTATGCTTTAGATTGTGCTATATACTGACTTAGATCAGATGAATTGGTCATTTATGTTACTCGGATTCGACCATACGTGTTAGACATGATAAATATCAAATACGGGTGTTCGGTTTTTTAAGTTATTCCGAATTTTTTGTCGGATCATATCCGGATATTCGTCCGATACAAGTGTCGGATATATGTGACTCATGCTAATTGCAGGTCCTGAAGTTGAGCGCTTGGCAGCCATGGCTGGGAAGTATAAGGTGTACTTGGTAATGGGAGTGATCGAGAGGGACGGATATACCTTATATTGCTCGGTTCTGTTTTTCGACTCGCAATGACGGTTCCTCAGGAAACACCGGAAGATCATGCCTACGGCGTTGGAGCGACTAATTTGGGGGTACGGAGACGGATCAACGAGTCCGGTTTTCGAGACTGATCGGGAAAATCGGCGCAACAATTTGTTGGGAAAATAGAATGCCACTTCTAAGGACTGCAATGTATGCAAAAGGTTGGATTTTTGGACCTTCACTACTTTCAATTCCTTTGGAGTATACATCAGTGGTTGTGTTACCCCCAAACCAGTGGTTTTCGACTTCTAGGTTTAGTCTTACAAAACTTGACATCAAGTTCGAGAATTGTCACACTTTAGCTCCTAGAAATGTGACCATAATTCTCGAACTCGTTCGTTCTATGAGCTATGCTTATGAAAACTATCTTCTTGAGCTCATCTTTGAGAGGCTTTTAATGTTTGTAGGTATTGAAATATATTGTGCACCTACTACTGGTTCCAGGGATGTGTGGCAAGCATCGATGACACATATGACATATCGCTCTCGAGGGCGGGTGTTTTGTTTTGTCGGCCAACCAGTTCTGTCGTAGGGCCGACTACCCGCCTTCTCCGGAATATATGTTTTACGGGACCGAAGACGAGCTCACCCCGCATTCTGTCGTCTGTGCTGGAGGGAGTGTCATAATATCACCATCTGGTGCTATTCTGGCAGGACCCCATTACGAAGGGGAGGCACTTGTATCAGCAATTCTAGGTTTGTACAATATGTCCATGTTTTTATCTGTATATGTTCGTGCAGGTAGAATTACTGTTTCCGATCGATCTCCGCCGGTCGTATTGCATTTTGTAAAAAAACTTAAGACTTACTTTCTTTGGTGAATAACTAGAAATGACGATGACAACTAAATGACTCCCAGATCTCGGAGAAATAGCTCGGGCAAAATTTGATTTCGATGCGGTCGGGCATAATTCGAGACCGGAAGTGTTCAGCTTGATCGTGAGAGATGATCCAGCGAAGCTAGTCACTTCCACTTCGACATCGGAGGAGAAGGAAGACAGTGACTCAAAGTTATCTTACAAGTTATAAAACCATCTGATAACTATCTTATTTTTCTTTTATGTGCATTCGAATAAGTTATTCGGACCTGGGTGAGTGTCGGATATGAATAATATTCATTTCTTTGATTGTGTGTTCGGGAATCAGTAGTCGTTGAGAGAAATCCGACGGTTTAAAATTATAGACGAACATAACGCTAGATAAATAATTTAAGAATAATTTGATTTTTCTTCGTTTATCAAGTTATATAAATAAACATGACCAAGTATAAGTTTCATTTATTTAAACAAACTGAACGCAAAGAAATATTTAATTTATTTATAAACAATGCATTTTTTTTAATTTTGTCCAAAAAACCAAACAAAACTCGTTTACCGTTTCATTATAAACACAAGAAGTTTATTGTTTGATTATTATATAATGAATTATTACGCTACATGCCCTCAAACTAAAATTTTAATTTTAAATCAGTCTTCAAAATTTTGAACATTTTAATTCCATCATCAAACTATGAATCTCAATCTATTCTGTCCATTACACACGACAATCTCTGACCAGGCCATGTGGCTTCAAGAAATATGCCATTGAAATAACAAGATAAAATGAGATTTAAGCTACAGTACATGAGGTAATAAGATATTAAGTCTTATTTATATATAGTATATTATTAATATTTTTAGCATTTTAATTCTAAAAAACAAAACTATGTTCATGTTTTTCTACCATTAATGTTCAGAACGAATTCGTTTAAACACGACCTCATACTTTTAAATGAAGGTACAACTTCAAAATTCTTAACAAACACAAACGAAACGCAATATAAATGAATACGCACAACGGTCAAATTCGGTTCGTTTACACCTCATCATTCACATCATACTGCACTGCATTTTCACGAGTTTAATGACAAATTTCTTATAGGATGACGCTGAAAGTGCAAGTTTGAAAAATAGCAATTCATATGGTTAAAACAACTACTAGCAAGATATTAAACGAAACCGAAATTCACCCAAGGTATTAGGAAGTTTAGCAAAAAGATACCTCAGGGGACACGACCGAAATTAGCCGCCGCAAATAATCTGATTCATTCGTCATCCCAGGTCGATGCACCACCCATTCCAACTTCAATTGCTGGGGACAACTGAAGTTCGGCAAGCATGACATGTTTACCTTTCTTCTTTTTGGCAGGGTAGGTAACTGAGTGATCAGATGATTTCGTATATTGATCGGCTCTATCAACTATCTTCCTTTTACAGTCATCTATTGGATCTGCAGCATCATTTGCGAATAGCTCTGTGAAAGAGGCACCGGAGTCATCAATAATGTCTAGTTCAGCCCGTTTCTCTAGCATTTTCTTCTTCTTTGGTTTCTCTTCGCCTGCAATACCATCCTCGTGTACCGAAACTTCCTTTTTCGACTGCTTATCATTTGTTTTCCTCCCTTTCTGTGTAATATTTTTCTCTGCATCAAGACGACTAAGATTTTCTTGTTCCCCCTTCGATTTTTTCTTTTCATTCTTTTCAACAACAATACCATCCCCCTCATCAACGGAAACTTTGTCGTTTCCTTTCTTCTTTTTCCTCTTCGATTCTTTCTCAGTATCAAGATCAGGAGCATTATCATGATTAACATCTTGTTTCTCAACCGACACCTGAAATTCGGGGTTCTTTTTTCTTTTCTGACCCTTTTTGTCCTCCATGTAAATATCCTCCGTGTAATCCATACTATGCGAAGCAACGGCAACGGTCTCACTATCTTTATTTTTCACGCTTTTATCAATTGGTCTAGCATTGAATATCTGTAAGTTAGGCAGTAACCTTTTAACCTGCGGCAGTGTCGTTTTAGAAATCACGTCATGAGACTAAGGCTTACAATAAATAGAGAAAGACTAATGTAGGCAAGAAAAACGTATAGAAGAAAAACACAATCTTTAAAACACGGGAAAAAATGTAAGGAAAGCATACCTTCTTTGCTAATTTATCTTTTTCAGCTATGGGATTTCCTTGTAGGTTGAGATTCTTCAGATTGACCAATGAATCCAGTGCCTGTTATTTAGATTGTTGTCAATGAAACACGCAGATAATGCATTTCGTTGGTAGAAAAAAGTAGAACCAGAAAAAAGAAGATAAGTTTGATTGCTACTACTAACCTTCAACTCTGACCATCTAGTGATTAAGTTATTTCCCAAATCCAAATTTTGAATTTTTTTATTGTAAGATAACTCAGCCGGAAGAATCTGGACAATTCATACACATGAACAGAGGGTGGGAGAAGAGATATAAGTTGTCAATCAACGAATTGGAAGCATAAACTAGAGGGTAAGGAAACAGGAAAAAATAATGGAAGTACCTAATTGATACATCATCAAGGCTAAAATGAATAAAACATGCATACTCGGAAAGTCATAGTGTAAAAGAACTTACCTTGATATCATTGTGAGCAAGTCGAAGCTCTTTTAATTCAACACAGCACTTGAGTGACGATTCAATAGCTTGGATTTGGCAGTTAGATGCAGAGAACTGGAACCAAGAGTCATCGGAAAAGCTTTAGGAGTAATCAAGGTAAATTGAATCCAATAATATATGAATAATGGAAGGAATCAACACCTTTGTAATAGATTTCAGCTTCATAAGGGAACTGCCAATTTTGGTGATAGGATTCCTAGAAAGCACTGCAGGAAATTCCAGGCAAATAGTATGATCCAAGCTAAAACCGAATAAGAGATATCTAAAACACTAGTACAAAGGTAAACTGGTTCTATCATCTCATTTAGTTTAGCTATATGTGAATGAAACTAAGAGAAGCAAAGGTTGTGATATTGGCATACTGTCTCTGTGACACAAATAAGAACGGGATTTTCATGTTTAAAGGTATTTTTTACATCCTTTGATGATCAAAACCTTCATGGTGCTTAAGAATCGAACTTTTTAGATTAATTCCCACATCGACATCAGAAAGGATTCCAATTATAATCTTCTCTAAAACAAGAAATCAAAGTCACTTAACGACAAGGAAAAATATCTTAAAAACATATCTAGAGGGGATCATTTGGAAAGCAGTTCCCTTCCCACTTCAGAATAACAAAGTCGTATTCTTAATAACTTTGTGGTTTCAAAACAATTTCATTCTAGGTTGGCATTAAACCCTAAGCCAACAACAAAGTAATGAATGTCAAGATGACGATTACAAACACATACCGAGAGTGTTCAAATCTTTCATTTCGTCGAGTCCGCATATGGAAACAAGCTGGTTATCTGCATAGCCGAAGAAAGAATGGTAGAGTACAGAAGACAAAATTCAAAAAGGGTCTTTGAAAAAGGTGGTGCATTTGTATAACAAATATTACCATTCAGAATTAATGCGCGTAGATTAACAAGAGGCTTAACCTCTTCCATTGATCTAAGCTTGTTTTTGCCTGCATTCAACACCTAATTCAAAAACAACCGAATCATAAACGTGATTCATTTCAGTTTGGAATTTAAGAAGAGACACAAGTTTGTTTTATTCTGCCCCTTACAGTGAGCTTAGTGAGTCCTTCAATTCCTTCCAAAGTTTCCAATTTGTTTTGAACAACCGATAACCACTTCAAGTTAACGCAAGACTTCAATCCCTATAAGTTGAAATTGAAATCGAAAATTAAAATTAGGTTACATTTTAATCGTTACTTAATAAGTAAAGCTGAAAGAAGAAAAACCTGGAGCGAAGTGAGATTGTTAAAGGCGAGGTCGAGCCTCTCCAAGTTTTTGAATTCAGCCAAGCAAGAAACCTGTTCAAAATTAAAAAAAAATAATAATAGAGAGAGAAAAGAGCACATATTAGACAAAAAGGAAATGGAAGGCAATGCGAGAGAGAGGAACGGCGGCGGTGTCGGCGGCTACGTACATCGGAGAGAGCTTTGTGGGATAGAGAGAGGGAGGTGATGGAGGCAGGATCACGAGTCTTCCCGTCTTTCAAGAGATGCTCTTTCGTCAAGCGAGCCATGGCGGTATAAAGCCCTAGGGTTTTTTTTTCACTCCTGAGAAGTGGCGGCGATAACAGTGTAGTCGTTTTTGTAGAAACTGCAGGACACGTGATTGAGCCGTCGACGGGCCCAAGGGTCGGGTTGGATCTATCGGGTTGAATTTAAGTCCAAAAAGTTCATCGGATTCGGATGTAGATAAAAATGGGTCATATTCTACAAAATTTAAATGCTTAATTAAAAAAAATAAGTACGTAAAATACAAATTTTATCATTTAAATATTTAAAAAAAATTTATTTAAATGATTATATAAAATATATTATATTTTTCATTTAATTATCTTAAACATTTTCAATTCGATGTTAATCGTATTTGACTTATTTAAACTCTTATTAATTTTTAATATGATTACAACTATTTTTCTGACATAATGAAAATTTACAAAAACATTGATTTGCAAACAATAGGAAGCTGGAACAACAAAAGATAGATTTGTATTCATACAAGGATTTACATACATTCAAAGTAGCACAACACTTTATATTAAAATCAAACCACACATTAATCTTCACACTTCACCAATAAAACACAATTGTCGATATTTCAATTTTTTCGAGAAGTTTAAGAAGTATCATCCATCGTAGAACCGAGACATCGACATATTTGAGAGGTTTTCAACTTCTTTTAAGAGAAAAAGCCGAAAGGATAAGCATAAATAAGAGGAGAGCGCCGGCTATGAGAGAACCCACGACTGCTCCACTCACACTCTGGCAGAAATCGCCAAACTGTTGGCAAAATGGAAGCCAGTTCGTGTTCGGGTTCCCGTTGTGAGCCAGATAAATAATCGAAGCTGTGGCCGAGGCCGCGGCTATCGTTAAACCCGCCATCGCCTGTAACAAACCATGACAGATTAAGCCAACTAATATAGATTGGATACTGATGATGATCATGTATACTTACGGCGTCGAATATGACAAGGAGGAGTCGCGGAGTTGTTGCAAATGGACGGATAATACAAATGATGGAGAATGGCAATGAAAGGACAAGGTAACCAGTAACTATGGCGTTTGCTATCATGAAAAACCTGTATAACAAGCGATGTTTATATGATTTTTTTAAGATTATTATATGCTTGACGGACATAAATTATTAGGTTAAGGTATAAATTTAGAAAATGTTAAAGATGAAAATAGATCATCAATAATCATTATTAATAAAATATTTTAAAATATACGATAATTTTAAAATAGTCGGTTAGTAGAAACAATACGTACACCAAAGTCGGAATATCATTGTACTGAGCTTGGAACTGGAAGAACTGAGTGAAAAAAGGGAGAGTTTGTTGAGCGCTCCCCACCGTTACGGCGGCACCTATGGTGGCTCCCATAGCGCACAGTCTTAAAATGAAGTCACCTATGGCCAACCCTTTTTTCACTCCCCGTCTCTGTGGTGGTTCAACGCCGCCGTTCGAAGAGACAAATAACGGGGCTTTGCCCTTGGACTTGGACTTGGTGTCGGGGATGTTGATTGATGTCTCGACGGCTTTATCAGTCGCCATTAGAGATGTTTTGTAAGGAGAAAAGGAATAGTGAAAAAGAAGGTTCGTGGTAGGGCGGATCTAATAAGAGGTTTTGTTATGAAGAATCCCTTGTACGACACAGCCTTATATAGGGATGGAATATGATTGTGTATTATTGAATTAAATTATATATTTATTATTTGATTGGATTTTAATATCGAGACATATTATCAAACATTTAGGAAATTGACAGAATTAGGGTAATATTGTAAGCGGCCAAATTATTTAGTTCAATAGGACAACTTGATTTTTATTTTGGGATTTATGGTAAATGCTACAATAGAGTTGGAATTCATTATGCCAGCGTAAAGAATTTCGTAAGATATATTTTTTAATGAGCCGTGGGACATGGGTCCCATAGGCTGAATATATTTAATATATATAAAGAGATTAATCATGTCCGCATGACGAGTCTTAATAAAAAATATTTTTTTTTGAATTTTAAAAAATATTGTTAAAAATATATATATTATTTTAATGGAAACGGAACTCGTCACACCGCCGTGACGAGTTCCAACTGGTATAAATTTGAATTTCTCGATCGTTGGGGGTGATCGTTGTTAAACGGGCAAATTTTTTTTTGGGATTCATTGGAACTCGTCACGTCGGTGTGACGAGTTCCAATGAATATTTTGGGAGATGATTTTAGTATAAATAGAGGTTTAGGGTGAAGGTTTTGATGTATGAGGAGTGAGAAAAATTTGAGAATATTAAATAATGTGGTTGTGGGAAAAATTTGGGAATGATTTGGCTAACGGTGTTTATGGGTTTGACAACACTGACTCTGAGATCGACGATTCGGATTCAAGCTCTTATTAAGATGAAAAGTGGGGAAAAAGGCAATAAAGTACATAGTTGAAGAACATAAGAAGAATAATATAAAAATGGAATAGGAGAAGAAGAAGAAGTATAAAGATTTACTAAAGCGACGTAGCAAACAACTCGTTGAGAGGAAAGAAAAAATAAAATAAAAATTAGTATAGAAATTGAGAAGAAGAAAAAAGAAAAATACGAAGGTGTCTTAATCCGATGTAGTGAACGAATTGTAGAGAGATCTAAAAAAATAGAAAATGACATATGTACAAATATTTATTTGTATAGTTTTAATTTATGTATGAAGTTGTCTTTATTAATTAAGTAATTATTGGATTAAGTAAACTTATTTAGTAATAATTTACAATTATATAAGAATTAAAGTGAAAGTTTGAAGTAATGATGTTCAACTAAAAAAATCATAAGCATACTGGAAAGAGTACAAGTTTAAAAAAACATAGTTAGAGTACAAACTAAAAACATAGTGAAAAACATAGTTAAAAATGTAAAAGTACAAAAGATAACATAATATTTTTTAACGGCTATTTTAGCGTCCAACCCAATATTTTGGAAGATGAGGACAATACTTTGTGTTATGACATTCACCTCTGCAGTGGCCACAAAGTTTGGGTAGATCTGGCTCTCTTTGAGGATCATCCATATCGGTATGAATTCGACCTGAATCGGCTAGATTCAGGTCAATCTCTTAATTTTCTACGCAATTGAGGATTTGGCAACCATTCATCATAAATTGTGCATGTAGGGTAGTATGCTTTATTTTGGAGGTACTTGAAGTCACAACTGTAAATGTTATTCATAGTGTGCAAGCTATAACAATTATCAGCATATAAGTATGGGTCAACATTAACGTGTATACATGCAGCAACAGTGTGAGCGCATGGGAATCTAAAAGCTTCAAATCGACCATAATCACACCATCTTCTATTCAGATTACCAGTGTATGTTGTCGAATTACCTCCCTCATGTGGTCGAACTAGTGCTTGGACAATGAAATCAGAATCAAGTCTGACAAAATTATGGACAAACATTGATGTCACATGTGTTTGATTCTTTTGCATTGCCTTCTCTAAATTTGGAGCCCAATTTCTCCCATCGCTGATAGTGGCATCAATTTGTGCACTTTTGTCTGCCCATACTTTGCCCAACCTAAAGTAAGTTTCCCTAACAATACTTGCTATCGGGAGATGTCGAGTCCCTTTCAGCACTGAGTTGATACATTCGGCAAGGTTGGTTGTCATATAGTCGTAACGTCGACCCTCAATATCATCTGCTTATAACCATCTCTCCCTAGGGATTTCAGTAGCGAATTCATACACATCATCTCCGTTTCTTTTCAAATTTTCTAGTCGTGCATGGAAGTTTGGTTGAAGTAAAGCATACCCTAAAAAGTAGTAAATTAAATGTTATTGAAAAATAAAATAAAAAAGAACATAAATGAAGCAGAAATAATTAATGAGAAATGATATAATAGTTACCCATGTTGATAATCTCTTTTTTGATCTTTTTTTGCTTAAACCTCTTCATAGCATTAGACGCAATATGACACATACAATATGCATGATATGCATAGGGAGGTGTCTATATACTTTCGGGTCTAGAAATTATGCTTAACAGCCCAAGCGATCAATCCGAGATCATGCAAACCCCATCTTGAGTGACAACATGGGAACACAAGTTGGAGAGAAAGAAATTACAAGTTTACTCGAATTGATTTTTAACAATGACGAAGGAAATGGGGAAAATATTTATGTCTCCATCTTGTGCAACAGCTATCATCAAGACTTGTCTGTAAAGCCCATACAGAAAAGTCCCATCGACTTGAATCATTTGTTTGCAAAATTGAAACCCTTCAATAATTGAATTAATTCCCATAACAAGCCACCAAAAATTCTTTTTCCAAGGATAACGTCTTCTTGCAGCGTGACTGCAGGAAGAGTAACATTGATTTCAGGGATGAAAAATTACATTGCTTGCAGCAGACGTGGTAGCTCATTATATGACTGATCACAATCACCATACAACAAGGTCATTGCTTCCTTTTTAGCCATACATGCCTCGTAATAAGTCGGAATATAACCAAATGTATTTCAAATGGATGTCACTAACACAGAAATGAGTACTCTTGGATTTTTTCCACCAATAGCTTGACATAAAAGTATATGACATCTGAATCTAAATGTTTGTGGTATCATCTACTTACATCCAACATCATGGTGTATACACCTTGTTGAGTTAATCAATCGATTAAATCGGCCAAGAGGGGGTGAATTGGCAATTAAAAATTTGGTGGAAGCTTTTATAGAAAATTGAAAGTAATTTGTACAGCGATTTAGAGTGGTTCGACTTTCTCAACCAAAGTCTACGTCCACTACCTTAGCTATCCACACTAAGGATTTTCCAACAAATTCACTAATTTGTTCTTTCTTTTGAGGACAAAGAGATAACCTTACAACTCCCTCAAGAATATACCCCAATTCTTGAGAACACTCTTTCTCAAAGAGAAGATTACAAATTCGTAAACTTAATGAAAAACCTCACAAGGAAAATGTGTTTACACAATTCTATAACAAAGAAAGAACACTCAAGAATAATACAATTGAGCACAATAAGTGTTATTGAAAGCAAAAATGAATATTGAATGGAATAGGCTTGAAAATGCTCAAA